AATTCCAAAATCTTAAACCTAAACTGAAGTATTTTTATATTACGACCACAATGAATGTTATAAAGTCTTGATTGAACCTGTTGTGAAGCAAAATCCATAAAGACAAGCTCGTCCAAGGGCTGTTTTACGGCGTGTTGAAATTTTGATCTTCATTTGTTTTGGCTTTTGTTTCATGGCAGGCGATAATAGACAAATTCCAAGCTGTTTAAATTTGTGGCTCTTATAGGTGACTTAAAACCTTTCATCATTGGGTGCCTAGAATTAAGAAAGTCAAACAGCCTATCAATGTTTCTAATAAATTGGATTGTAGCAGCACAACCTTGGAAGCTTTCAAGATTCATGTCAGTTTTCAGAAACTCTAATGCATCAGCTATAGATGAGCTGAATGTTTGGGCTGCTAGCTTGACTTTCATTTTGTGTTTTTCCCAATTTATGTGTTCTGAATTTAACTTGTTTGCTAAAGTAAAACCTTCCTTGTCTTGCAAGACTGAAAGATTTGTTATGTATTTCCATGAGATACTTTCCCCATCTGATGTTTTGAATGATCCTAGGTTTCCTAAGGCATTGCGAGCCAATTTTAAATTTAACAATCATGGTGTCATATTTATCTGTGAATCTGCATCCAGGGTTCTCCAGTGTGCTTAAATTGGTAGATGTACCATCAGATGTTATGGACCAGACTCTAAAGCCATGATCAGCTGCTAATGAAAGGCCTGCTTTGATTAATGATGCTTGTGATTCAGCATTTAATTTGTCTGTTAAAAAGTATCCAACTGGACATTTCCAGCGTGACTTTAGGCCGGTCAACATAAAAACTAAAGCCTCAGAAGCAAGGTTTTCAGAGTTTTCTGGAATGATGTTACCATAGTCAACAAAGCCAGAATACTTTGACTTGAGCTGATCATAAGTTACCTGTTTCCTAATTGACATTCCATCAATAAGCAAGGCGCAATCTAACATTTCTGGCTTATCTTTGGACTGGTTTTCAAGATACTGAAAAACCTCAGTAAGGAAGCCTGGCTCACAGTTGACGGAAGCTGTCCACTGCTTAATGGATGACTCATGTGGTAGCTTAAAAATTTTGCGTAGAAAATTATATGCTCTGTGCGAGTAGAAATTTACAGTCAGGGCAAATTGTTTTAATTCTTCGCTATATCGCCTTCCAGCTGGTTTACGGCCCTTATTTTTAACCTCATTCGGGAAAAGTTCCAAACAGGTGCCAGAAAATTGATCCTTAAGGAGGTCTGCACTTGACTGGGAAAGAAGTTCTTTATTTTTCATAGTATCAATAAGGTCACCCATTGTTTTTATTTTCTGATTTCGTCTACGCAGCTTTTGTTGAAGCATTTTGACTTTTTTTCTCAGTCGCATTTTTGTTGGTAAATTGGGATCAGATTTTCCCTCTTTAGGTTTTTTAACTGTTTGGCTTTTTTGCTGTCCCTTTGCCCCCTTTTTAAAACATGAGTTCTTCCTCACTAACTTCCTTCTGGTTTTTGGTGGCTCTCTCATGAGGTGTTTTGGGAACTTTGGGAAAATGGATGGTACAGCAGAGGGGCCATTGTAATCTGTAACAAGGAAGTAATCGCTACAGATATAGGAGTTTTTTGTAGGGTGCCATTTCCAACGCCTCACTGCTGCAATCCAAAGTTGCCGCTTCTCCTCATTTGCAGGAAACCTGAAAAGCACCAAAAAGCAAAAAAGGCTTAACAAACAACCAACCTGAAAAATCACCACGAATCTCAAAGGCCAAGAATCTCAAAACTCTCAACCCATCTGAAGCAAATAAAATATATATTTATGACTGTCTGGAACAATCATTTTTTGCAAAATATTTAACGAGAAATGCAATCATGACCAGGTGGCTTCGCCGAGCAAAACTTTCCATCTACCCACAAATAATAGTAAAACCTTGGAAAAAATCTCATCCTAGCTGCTAATGAATTCTAAAATAACTGATAAATTATAAACCTAGACCCAGCAGACCCTACTAAATCCATTAGCAATCAGAAACCAACCGGTGAAAGTAGACAGGCCTAGGCCTACTAGCTCCATCAACATCCCCTACTCCCATCAAATTTTCGCATTCTTGACTATCAATCTGATCACCATCAGTTCTTCCACCCTTACTTCCATCTCGTTGTCGATTCTGACAACCAAAGGCAGCACAAGAAATAACCATTTCGAAAGCAGTACGCGTTTTACAAATCACACACTCGCAGAACACAACAACCCATCAGAAAACTTTTGCCGTGCAAATGAAATTCTTCGAAACGCCTTCTGGCTTCAAGCCTCACTTTCATGCTATCTCTCTAGCTATTCTTATACCTCATTGGTGTTTACATCTGCGGTCAATCAAAGATGGCTACTTTGAAACTATGTACGTGTTGTAAATCTCATGCTAAATGCTGAATTTGCTGGACACGAAATGAGTATAAATGGACGAAGTCACTTGTTGGAGCTCCTAAATTTGTTGCTAAAACGTGGACAGACTGGTTGGCTACTGCAGGAAAAAGAGGCACCGGAGCGAAGAGCTGGAGATTTTTCAAGGAGGCCTACGTCCATGATGTGTTGATCGCCTTCAGTGATGAAGGGAATCCTACTAAAACAATTGTTTGGGCTAGATGTTTTTGCTCAATGAAGAAAATGAAGGGCCACACATAATGTATCTTTGTGCCGAGATATACAGCTACGCAGAAATAAGCAAAGCACATTGCTCCTGCAAAGCTGGTAGCGGAGGCCACTGCAATCACGTATTTGCGCTTCTTTTCCAGATCAACGACTTTTCATGCAGTGGATTAAAATCCATTCCAATAGACAGCACTTGCACAAGCAGATCCCAACAATGGCACACACCAAGAGCAAGCACAATTGCTTCATTGCCAGTAATGGGGACCCATTTTGCCAATCCAGCCACAGGTAAAAATGATGATACGTGAATAAGAAGTCCCGTGAAATATAAACTTTATGACGACACATCTGGAATGAATAGTTGTTTGAGTTCAGATAATATAATGAATCAGGTTTCCCAACTAAAGACAATGCACAAGATTGCACCACCCTTTCATACCTTTTGTCAGATCAAGAGCCATTTATGCAAGTCAACACGGTCTTGGGGAATGTTCCTGTAGGATCATGCCTTTCCTATCAACTTTTTGACTTTGGCAAGACCAGCACAAGATTTGAATTGACCAAAGTCCTTGCGACAGGAGATTCAAGTGTTTGCCTTCATTTTCCTGATGTGCCACGTTTGACATCAGACAAAAATTTATATGCAGGAATACTTTTGAACAAGAATAACAAAGAATGGCCAGAAGCTAATATCATGATAACAGCAGATGAAGCTTGGGAACTTGAGAAAAGAACAGTTCTACAAGGAGAGTGTAAAGAATGGGGTGAACAACACAAAAAGAGATTAACTCCATCAAATTTTGGCAAAATAAATCGACAGATACAACGGCCATCTGCAGCAATGCTCTCCAACATATTTTGTCCCTCAGATTTCTCAAAGGTCGCATCAAATGCTCATGGCAAAGCAAAGGAAAAGCTTGCAAGGAGCATTTATGCAAAAAAATGCAGCAAAAGGTTAAAAACTTTTGCGTGTTTGATGCAGGCCTCATTGTCAATCCAGCCTATCCTCATCTTGGAGCAAGCCCTGATGGAAAAATTTTCAACCCTGGTGTCAGCCCACAATATGGTCTTTTAGAAGTCAAGTGCCCTTACAAGCAGCGTGCCATGAAAATAGAGGAGGCACTAGCAGATCCAAGTTTCTATATTTCATTACAAGATGGAAGCTATATGCTTAAAAAGGATCATGCTAGTGGCTACTTTGAGCAAGTTCAAGGTCAAATGGCACTCAGTGACTTAGAGTGGTGTGACTTCTTTGTATTTTCTTCAGAGTCAAATAAGATGTGTGTTGCCAGAATTGAATTTGACACAGAGTACTGGAGACAAAAGCTTTTGCCAAAACTCAATGACTTTTATTTTCAACATTGTTTGCAATTTCTAATACCAAGAGTATAAATCAGACTGAAACACAAAGCTTTCGATGATTTCAATGCTTAAATGATCTGTTACCTGCAAGGATAAATATAAAAAATTACAACTTACTTTTAAATATTATTTGTCTGTTGTTTTTAAGTACAGTAACATTTGCAAAACTACAAAAGTAAGTGTCCAAATTCTCAAAAAAGTTAGTGAAGAAATTAGTTTTTTTCTGAAGGTAGTGGGCCAATGATCCACACTACCACCCTGGCCCAAGTGTTTTTGCTCCAGTATTGCTATAATATAATTGATTATGTCTTTCTTATCATTACTATAAAACCTTATTTCAAGAGCCTAAAGAATTACCTGTTCAATAACAATACTTAGGTTTAAATTGCAAGTCTAAATTAAAAACATTGTTTAGCTGTTATGATAGTATAGGATTATGAAAGTTAGAAAGCAAGCATATATCTGTCCATATTTGATTAATTGTTCCCATCATTGCTATTGGAATGATAGAGTGTAAACTACGAAATCGCTTTATCTTACAAATGGCCCTCTCTACGTGTATCCGATGCATTGCAATAGTCTGGGTTCTGAGAACATCTGACTCAGAAAAACTACCTTTATCTTTCAAGTATCGTGGAATGTTGAGACCAAGGCCAAGCTTTCTAAGTTCTTCACCTATGTTGAAGCCTTTATTTGCCATGATAGTGTCTCCAGGTAGAATTTCTGAGGTTTGAAGCTTTTGCTTAAGAATTTCCAAAAAACAACATCTTCTAACAATCTCCTTGTCACTAATTGATCCTTCATACAGTTCAGATACAAACATCACACCACCTTTTGGATCCACACCAATAAGGCATTTGAGGGTAGCATGACTTTTATAACTGCTGTAAGTCTCACTCTGTTTTTGCAATGAACTTGGAACTTGCATCCTAATTTCTGTTGCATCTATAATTATTATGTTTTGCCATATTTTTTGATGAAATCTTTTGGTGCATTTTGTAGAATTATTTCACGAGTTGGCCATATTTTTGGGGACCAAAGGATAACATACAAATAAATTATACAAGTTATCAAGAAAGCTGACACAGTGCTTTGGGAAATATTAAAGCATCCTGCCAAGTCTATATCGGTTAATCCCATGCGCGATTTCATCAAAACTAAAAGAAATTCATCTTTGACAGACAATTTATGATTGTTCATGGTGCTTAGCTTCCCTTCCCAGCTTCGGCTTTTCGTGCCGTTATCATCATCCTGGATATTTCCCTCGTCATCAAATATATTTTTCATATCAATTGCCCTTCTAGCAGCTTCTTTGTTCCCCAGTAAACTAGTTTCGTCCTATCCTGGTTAGGCAGCAAAAAATTCAATGTCTCTATAAAAGGCTGCTCTGAACTAAATCCAGTAAAATGGGTGAATAGTTTCTCTTCCTTTTTCTTCAAAACACACTTTGAAACAAGATGTCAGAGCGAAAAAGCATGTAGACAAGGCAACCTGTCTACTTCATCATCAAAGTATTCGCCAAACGTTTGGGTCTTTCTTGATAACAGCTTCTGCTTTTCGGGAAACAAAACGTCACCTTCCCCTTCGGAGGCAGTGTCGGTAGCTTCTTCAGCCTGTACACGACAACTTTCAAATTTTTTTAGTGCTTGCCTTGCCTGTTCAACTTCTTCTTGCTGTTCACAGCTTGGAGTTGTCCATTTGAACCTACTTGGAACTGCAGTTGCCTTTAAACGCTTTACTTTTGCAAGTGGGTCAATGAAATCATTTTTGCTAAAATGAACCGAACAAATTTTCATATGTTTCCTTATGGTAAAAAATCTGGGATCTTGTTTCATCTTTGTTATCCAAATATTAAGCCTCTTCTTGTCATTTAACGGGAAACAATGAAATGAAATATCTTCATTGCCATCTGAGCTATTGATGCATCCTCCAGAACAACAAAAATGCAGCATTTTGAACGTAAATAAGCGCACGCATGCGAATATCTTAGGCCATTTGAGAATGTAAACACCCATTTCAGGTCACGTGACAGTATAACAACAACAGAGCCGAATTTGTCTATTATTTCTTAATCCTCTGACGCATGTTTCTTTTGTTCTATTGCTCAAACGACAGAGAGAACTTGGACAACCGCGAGGGCCACCAAGCTGCAAGGTAATCAGATCCCTGTTTGATGACCTTTTCGTTGTTTCTGTGACGTAGGTCTTATTGTGCTGATGGCTTTTGAACAAAGAGTGCCACGCAGCAACGTAATCATTCCGTAGTTTCATTACCTCGAGAGCAGTTCCTCATCCTTCTTGATTAGTAGAGTGCTTACAAACGACTATCACTGGGGTATTTTCACTACATTCTGAGGAAGAAAATCTGATAAATCTGTAATTAAAAAAGGATGGTTAGCCATGCCCCAGAATAAAATAAAAAGGATGAGCCAGTGAGTCTGTCTATGTGTTTATTCGTGGATATGTGGATGTAACAACAAAGAAGGAAGGGACATTTTTTATCGCTGGTCTCTTTGTGATGGATGGTTTATCAACGGTGCGTTTAAAATTTAATAATTTATTTCAGGAATATTTGCCATCTAGGGAAGTTTTATTTTGATAAAAAATTGAAGATTAAACAATTTGAAGAGACTTGTAGTAAATTTAAAAAACCTTTCAAAAAATACTAATAAGTCTTCTCTTGGAAAATTATTGTCCAGTAAATGCGCAGAATCGTTTATCCTGGACAAATAAGTCTGCATGGAATCTTTGCGTAGTGATTCCTCATCATTCCTTTCAAGGTAAGCAAGTCCACTTTTGATTACCTTGCCTTTTTTAAGGCTCACGAAAATGGGCCTTTGGCCGATTTGAATAGGTCTGTTATTTCAGAATCGTTTACAGGCTCAAAACCCGTGGCATGAACTGTCATCCGTTCACTGCAACTCCGAAACAGTACCTCAAGGCATTTGGTTGTTGTGTTGTGCAGCGGAATATTCTGTGGTTGTAAGCACAGAATGGGAACTCAGACATTATGTAAATAATCAAGATCGAACTTAAATATGTTGGATGTTTAATGATGATTCTTTATGTACATTTTAGATGAAAGAGCCTTTTGTACTAAGAAGCTATCATGGTTTATTTCGACAGGGTACGAAATGGCAGTCATCGAGCATCCCAAAACCAAATTCTACCCAACCGCACAGCTAGGTTATATCGATGTTCCTTGTGCATTAGAGAGGTTGTTAGGTACAAAAAAATGCATCAAGATATGCATAAATGGTTCATTATCACATTGATAATGTTGTATATTTATCCGCACAAGGAAAAGCAAGAGGGAAATTGGTTTCGAAATTGCTAAAACAGTTGAACCATCAAGCATACAATTCTTCACTATTCTTAGGGTTTTTGAAAAAGTGTGGTCCTGAAATTTTTTCCGCGTACTCCATCCCCGGGCCCCCTGGTGGATTCGCTCGCTTTGCTCGCAAGTATTTGATTACCTACTTTGCAACGCTTCGCGCCGCCCCTGCTCATAGATTAACTTTGTAAAAGCTATATGGTCCCTTTAAAACCTTTTTGGCAAGGTGTTACATATATCCTTAAAAAAATGGTTTTTCCTTCATGAATTTACATTATGGACAGGCCAGCACAGAAAGGAGCCACTGTTTGTTAGCTTTTGGATAATTCTTACTTTTGAATTCTTACTTTTCAAACAAATCTATATCAAATTGTAGTAAGCCTATACAGCTGAAGTAAAAGTTTAAATTGGGGAAAACCAAATTTGACAATAAAGGAGGGTAAGGGTGGCATTTTAAGTTGCATATCATATATTTATGATAGTTGAAAAAGTCTTATTAGACTATTCCAGATTTTTGTCTTATAAACCTGACCAATCTAGAAACTGTATTGAAATAATTTTTAATAAACAACAGAGTTTAAAGTCTGTAGGGGAAAGTTCACATATTCTGCAGAACAATTATTTTGCAGCTGATAAAGATAGGAACAATCGAATAATGTGTTGCGTTATCAATGAAAACAACTTCATTAGCCAAACCATTAGACGAGTAAACAATTCAGGAAGAAAAATATATTTTCATACTAGCAGTTCAGCATTCAGTTCATCGGTATTCAACATAGGAATCAGTCGCCCGTTAATCTCTTACAAATGCAAATTCCGCTGAAATTGGTTTATTCTCTAACTCCAAAATTTCAATCACACGACAGTAAATTCAATTATGCTTTCATCGTCCTTGTCCAAGTCTAAGAAAATCTTATTTCATTTATGCCACCATGATATACTGTGCCTCAAATGATCGTACGAAGGCCAAAATCAGAGTGCCTCATACAGCCAATCCTTGTTGTTTACCATTTCTTTCTCCCGAACTTTGGACTCTGTCTTGTTACAAATAAAATTTATGCAGCTGAACTGAGACAAGTTTTGCTGTCCAAAATAATATCATTGGTATTGCATAAGGAAGCAGGAAATCCACATTCTCATTGCCCCGCCATAATACTTGAACTGGCCTCCTTGCTAGTGTCTCATAGCAAAACAAGAATGCACAGGGCAATTTTTGCAGTCCTCCTCTCGGAGATAGCAGGAACAAAGGTTTTCAAAACAATGCTCTTTGACCTAACTAGGTGACCAATCAAATCACTACTGCTTACTAAATGTTATGATGATCATTTCGATGAGGTCCTGCTCCCCAGATTGAGCAGGACTGCTTTTTGTTCTAGACTATTGTGAAGCAGGACTAAATTTACAAAAGCCCATTGTGAAGCAGGAAAAAACATAGGGTATCATAGTTATGAGCAAGACCCAAATACAGGGTTGCTGTAAAAAAGAACAGGACCTTGAGATTAGCACAGGATGCCTGTATCAGCTGGCAGAACTGGGGACTGTTTATCAAATAGATTTTGAAACTTCCTTTTGCAAAGAAGAATTTTTTTATTGTTTACATTAAATCTTATCTTTGGAAATTATTGGACCTGCTGAGCAGGACCAGCAGAACCTTAGGCTTTGCGACTGCTTCTAGATGAACTAAGGCAAAACTGCTTGAAGGTTAAGCAAGAGGAAGTGAAGAGAGGCAGTTGATCGATGATCAGATGATACCATACAAAGGTAGGTGTTCTGGCTTGAGGCAGTATTGCCCCAAAAAACCTGTAAAATGTGGCTGCAAAGTTTTTACCAGGAATGGTTTCTATGTGGGTGCAAAAAACCCACTACTGAAGCATCAAAGAACAATGCAGCAGTAGATGAATCATTTGGATGTAGTGGAGGTGTGGTTTTGAAGCTGTGTAACACACTAGACAGCATAAAATGGCTACAAGCTCTACATCGATAATTATTTTACTTCATTAGAGCAAATGGTAAAATTATAATAAGAGGGAATTTTGGCAATTGGCACCTTGAGAGCAGACAGGATGAGAGACAGGATGAGATGAGATACTAGAGCCAGAAAAGGTTTTGAAGAAAAAAGGAAGAGGGAGCTATGATTTCAAGGTTGATGCTAATTCAGGGCTCTATGTCCTCGAATGGTATGACAGCAAAGTTGTCAGGGTTGTGTCATCATATTGTGGAGCAACTCCAACTTCATATGTCCAGAGGTGGAGTAAGAAACAAAACAAATTTGTTGCTTGTGAAAGGCCTTTCATGATTTCAGAATACAACCAAAGCATTGGAGGTGTTGACAAATTTGCTATATTGATGTCCTTCTACTGTATTGACAGAAGAAACAAGAAGTACTGTATACTATACTGGGCGTATAGTATACTGGGCATTGCAGCTCCCATGCATCAATGGTTGGTTGCTTTACAACAGATATATGAGCCACAAAAACAAAGACCAGAGTAGAACACAGCAAAGGAAAAACAGCTTGCCACTTGTAGATTTTCTTCTATGTGTTGCCGAGTCATTGCTCAAAGTTAATAAAGTTTTGTCAAGGAAAAGAGGAAGGCCTTCCAGTAGCCCACAGTCCATGGGGACTCCACAAAGAAGGCATCGTCCAGCCTGTGTTTCCTACAAAATAATGTCAGACAAGATCACCTTGACCATTGGCCAGCCTCTGGCAAGAAAAGTAGATGCAGAAATTGCGAGAATAAGAGAGCAAAGGACAAAACAGTCAAAGAAGCAAAGACGAGAGTTTGGTGCACCAAATGCAATCTTGCCTTGTGCCTTACTAATGAGAAAAACTGTTTATAGAATATCATCGCTTTGACTTTCTTGTACCTTGATATCATTCTAATCCATGTTTGTGATTTTAACAATTGTTTTTGGTCCTAAATGGTCCCAAAGGAAATTTTCTCAGGTTTGGAAGAGTGCATGATGGAAATGTGCTTTTATCTGTCTCTTTCACCCATCTTTCATCAGAAAATATATAACAAGATTTGAAAAGGGGAAACCATTTTTCAGCTACATCCAATTTTGTTTTTCGAAAATATAGTAGAGATGTTTTATATTTGGTCTTTATTTGAATTTTCTATATTTGGAATGTTTTGATGATAATTTATAATTATGAGTGTCAGGAAATATTCTTTTTTTATTCTGTCTCAGAACCCTTCAATAGGTGCAAGGCACTACCATAAGTGCAGCAAACATCAAATGATTATCCTCCTTAGGTTGCCTTGCAAGATCAAAGTAAAAAGCTGGCTGTCAAGAGAAAAAAGCAGGAAAGAGGTCAAAATATGGATTTCATCGATTGATTCAGACATTAATGAATCAGATTGTTAAGAAAAAAAATAACCATGAATAGTTAACAACATTTCATGTTTCCACTGTTGGATTATTACAATTATCAGGATAAAAGTGTTGGATTATTACAATTATCAGATCTTTATCACAATAATCGCCCAGTGAAAACCAGGCTTTAGGTCCCAGCCACCGAATAATGTGTTCATGTTGTTTTTATGTATGTTTCAACATAAGCTATAGAGGAATATTACCATTTTTATTTTTGTGTAATCTGTTCTGAACAAAGCTATGTGCATCCTTAGAGCGGAGAAACATATACATCCGACACATCAAATATATTACCTCGAGGCAATGCTTTGGCTGGCACCATCATTGCAGGGGTATGGAAGGAGAAATTTTCAACATCTTATCAGCCGAATACCATCTCCTTCTAAAATTTCATCTTGAAAAAATTCAAAAGATGAGTCCATATTCTTGATGTTGATGATTTGACATGTCTTTGTGCCACAAATACATTTTTAAAACTCTCAAAAATTTGATGTGCTTGGACATTCTTCCACATTGGTCTATCTATTTTATGGTCTTTATCATTGGGTGCATATAAAATGTTTTCTCCCTCTAAAATTGCTACTTGTTTGGGGACCTCTTCAGACAATTGTTTCTACTACTTGATTTTAATCGCAGGTCATTTATACCCAGTGTTCGTGAGAATAATGATGGTCTTCTGTGATTTCATGAACTTTGGTGTGAGAATTTTAATAGTAGATCGCAAATTTCTTTGGCTGGAATTTCATAAATTTCTTTTATCTCAATATCTCACTAAGGTGATCCACTTTCTTGTGCAAAAATGTATGAGAGACAACAAGTTTTTATTGATTTTAGCCTTTTTCATTTCCAATAAAATATGAAATATAATATCAAGCAAGGGCCCCTGCCCCACTTTTCACCATGCTACTGCAGAGATTTTCAAATAAATATTTCCAAAAAAAATTACAGGTGGCCTTGATTCCATCCAACACAAAAAGGTTCTCTATGACTTCCAACAGTCCATCGATGTTTTGTTTCTTTCTCTTAAACGCACTTTTTAAACACTGGCTATCTTCGGTTAGCATCGCGTTCACTCTTCACTGAAACTGACACGATTCTCTTCAAACTGCAAAAAGGGGTTTCTACTTGAAACTCTTGTTCCATTGAGTGGTATTGAAAATTCACAGTTGCAACTTTGCTAGTTGCCCTTAAAATACTTTGATTATTCTTAGCATAGAGACTACTAAATTCCTTGTGAATTTTTCTTAGAAAAAAGAGCAAATATTGGCTTACAAATATTCTGGTGTTTTAAGCTGCATTTTTGAGTGTGCTCCACGACAGATCATTGATCCAGCAGAAATATGATCATTAGGCAAGCTGATCATTGATCATTAGGGTTTGAAGAATTTTTCCAATCAATGATATCTTTCAAAGACAGGACCACCCGGATTTATCTGAATTTGGGTCTCCAAAAAACCAAAAAGTGCATAAAGGCTTGCAGAGCTTCAAAGATTGAGGAACGAAAGCGAAAAAGCAATGATGGTGCAAATCCAGACAGGAAGTTTAAGCAACCTTGATGTATCAGATTTTTTAAAAGAGAAAACATTGCTAGAAGCACTGAACTTCTTGCAGTAGCAAATGGCAAAAGAGAATCTGGGAAAAAAGATCTTGCAGCTTCTTTATTATCACGGACACCAAAGCAGGTAGAAGATCTTATTGGCACAACATGGTAGTTGGTAGAAGCGAGCAGTGACCAATAGAATGGAGCTACTGGAAAAAGCTGTTGAAGGAGATTGTGCTGCAAAATGTAAAGGAGAGTGGCTTCAGTGTGCATTGGAAGTTTTAAGAAACAACCACATACACCCTTATGTATATGCAGCATCATTAAGAGAATTGCCAGAGAAGGGGCATGGAAAATCTAGAAACAATTATTATGGGACCAGCAAATTGTGAAAAATCGTTTATGCTTAAACCATTTCAAGGCATATACAAGGTTTTTAGCAATCCATGTTTAAGCTAAAGATAAATATGCATGGGTAGGCGCAGAAAGTGCAAAGGCCATTTTCTTAAATGACTTCAGTTGGTCATCTGAGTTGATAACTTGGCAAAATTTTCTTCTGTTGCTCGAAGGAGAAACTGTTCACTTGCCTTCTCCGAAGAATCATTTTGCAAAAGATGTTTGCATCACCAGGGGCGAATCTAGAAAGTATTCTGACTGTCGCACACAAGGGTGTGGTGGGAAATATCATTCTTGACCACACCCATAGTTTTTAAGGATATTCGCCCCCTTCTCATTTGAGCCATCGACAAGCACATTAAATTGGCTTTATTTAGAACATTGTCAAACTGTTGTTTATTCCTTATCTGAGTTTTCAATTGATACTACAGAATCATTTGTGTTGTTTCTTAGCCAAGCATAAAGCAAGAAACAACTTGAAATTCTTAAACGTATTGACACGGTTTTCCTTTCATAATCAGGCAAACATTCGAGTCGTCTCTCGATTTGTTTATGGTATACGATGACAAACCAGGCCACGCAAAAAATGAAAAATATCATTACAATGAATTTTCATAACTAACAAAATAGAACAAAGGTACACAAATATTCATAAAAACCTGCACTAATAACTAGTATTTTTAATAGCTAAACCAAATCAGCGTGTAAACATGTATTTTACTCCGAAGAAACCCCTTCAAATTCAGGGGAATACCAAAGCAAGTAAACTTTACCCGGAAATATCACTCTGCCAACGTCCTGAATATTATTTATTCACCAGAGCCAAATCGCAGGTATCACCCCAGTCCAGGGCATTTATTGACATTTGTAGGCCCTTGATCCATGGAGGAGGTAATGAATGTTGAAACATTGAAAACATCCCGTGTCCAATGTTACTCTGAAAATCTAGCAACCTTTGTCTTCCAAATTATCCGGTTTAACGTACTCATTATACATGTAGCCAGTCGACTCCATAACACAAAATTCCTTTTCGCCAGTGAAAAAATTCGCCATGCTAAACATAAATAAGCTCAAAACTGTACAAAGCAAGCAATGAGGACGGATTAATCTTTGCCCAGTGGTGCGACCTTACTAAAAAAACATACTGTGCACCGAAGTTTGCACTATCTAGCAATTTCATTGGTTAAATATTTTAAAACAAAAGCTGTGCGAATCGGTGCGAACGTGCTAGTAATCATACTGTGCACCGAAATACCCTAATCTAACTACATTGGTACCCTGTTGTTTTTTAGTCAGGATGCTTTGAGATTTGAATCAACATAACATGACTGCAACATTTCCTGCACTTAACCACACGTAACCCCACACTTAACCATATGACACTATGAGAGTAAGTACCAGAGAATGACACAAAACCACACGTAACCATCAGTTATTAAAAAATATGTATAGACCTTTCTTAATTTGAAAATGATGGTTACTGATGGAAGAACGACAAAACAGTGTAGAATTAACAATGCTGTCAAATATTTTATGGTTACATGTATGGTTATGTGTGTGGTTACATGTGGGGTTACGTGTGAGCAATTTTTTAAATGGTGAAATACATGAGCAGCTTCTACATCACATAGCTGTGTTTGAAACGTGCTTATAGCTTTGTTTTGTTTTGAATACCTTATCTTTACCAACATATTACAGTCATATATCACAAAATTTTATAATTCTTTAAATGTTAATACTTTATTCTGTCACCTTTATTTTTTATTACCTTGTCTAATCTTTTTGGCATCGATTCTAATTGATCGGTCAATCACGTCGCTGGGAAAATCCATCATAGTTTGCTTTATATAGTTACAAAATTCTCCAAAAGTCTCTTTCATGATTTTTCAGTGCATCCTTTTGAAGCTTCTTACCAGTGAAAAATGTTTTTGATCGGGTTTGGGTCTTGAGACCGAGCATGGATTTCAAGAACTTTGCATCCAATTGAATCAACTCCTCCAAGTGCTCTCTTGCTGTTTTTGTTAGGGTCCCCATCTTGAAAAAAGAGCTTCCCTCTTGGATTGGCTGAGACCTGAAACATGCCAGGAAAATGCTCTCTGATAAGTTTATAACATAAATTGCCATTTATAGGTGAATTATACTGAATTCATGATATTGCATCTCTTCCATATGAAATTGCTACCATGAACCTGACCATTCTATTTCCTGATCCTTCTCTTTTGCCCCTTTCCATGCAGTTTAGGCTCAGACTTGCATAACGTTTCTTCTTCCATGTTCATGTTAGTGTTTGTGCCGTTATTACTGTTTGACAGGGTTTGTCTTGTGCACCAAACCGATTCCATCAAAAAAAAGGTTACCCCCTACTTTCCAAAACTTTCAGGCAACTTCTGACATTTCCGAGCAAACTGCAATCTCCTCTTAAGATCTTTCTGTACCAGTTGCCCCTTTTTCCTGCACTGTGTGTAAGAGTATCCTTCTTTTCATAAAGCTTGACATACATTTCTATTACTTATTTCCTGTTCTATAATGCCAACATTCCTTTGAACATTTTTAGAGGTAAAATTTCGAAACGTTTCTCTCAATTTCTTAAGACTACTCGACAATTTCCTAACATATCAAGGAATGAGCTTGGCATGCCTATTCCATTCCATCTTCAATACCCCGAAATTAGAAAACCATTTGAATCAGGGCATTGTCAAGCCAACAAACCAGCACAGTATTGGAATTTGCATCAACACAATAATAAGTTGAGCCACGCCCCTCAAGTTCTAAATCTTTCTTACTTTTCAGGAACCTTCAAGTCAGTTGGAGCGATTCGTGCCAAGAGACCATCTTCTTTCAAGTGCTGTAGACGGTTTAGACTTGTGAACAGATTGTCAAAGTAGACTTTATGTCCTGAATGCTTTGACAAATGCTCAACAAGCCTGGTAACAACCACCCCTACCTTTCCAAATTCCTTGTTCTCTCTACCTGCTTACCTGTTTATACTTCAAAGTCATATGAAATCCACCCATCCCACATCTGGCCCAAACTTTCAAGCCCTACTTGTGTGGTTTCTTTGGCCAGTACTGGCGAAGTGAAGATTTTGCTTTCGTATTCATTATCTGCTCATATATTGAATGAGACTCTTCAGGACTCAGGGCTCTGCATTTTGAAAGCAGGCTTTCAATCACGGGGCAAACTTTGTAAAACTTGTCAAACCTAGCATCACCATGAGTTGGGATTGCAAGGTTGTCATTTACATGAAAAAAACGTTTCAGCTTTTGAAACCTTGCTAAAGGCATTTTGAAGTAGCAACACATGATATTGTTTCTTGAACAGAATAAAGGTTTGTTTGGCCAACATCATTGATATTGACCCTAAGATGGCGGCGAGAGGTGCATTATTCGCGCTCATCCTGATAATTGTCTACACCTAAAAGCTATGAATTCAAGTTATGTTAAGATTGGATGGCAAGCAGCAAAATAACAACCTTAGTAACTTATGGAACCCAAACATGTGCGCCCAGTGGATGAATATCTTGCGAAAGAAAGGATTTTTTGAGTAGGGTAGGGTGGCTGAAGCAAGTTAAAGCTTCATAATTTGTCATTTCTTTATACAAAAGGTTTTCCAGTTGGAAAGGGAAGCAGCCTTCTCAATTCCTCCGCTCCGCTGTCGAAGAAGGTTCCCTTGTTGCTGATCTTGTGTCATCAAATGTACAGATCAGAGGCAAGCGGACACATAATAAATCGTTTAACACTTGGAGGAAGATTTCTCACTGGTTACGAGCTATTTTGGGCTTATTCACAAAGCTCTGCAAAAATATATTTATATATTTGCACGACCCAGTGGTAGGGACGTGTTCAAATGCAGTCTCAATGCTAAGGGAGGAAAATGCGGAAAGAGCGCAAGGAACAAAAATTGCTACTCAGACGCAAGACAAAGGGACATGGCAGCAAGAAGAAGGATATTTAGAGGAGCAGGAGGCACCAACAGGTAAGACCAAAAAGATATATAATTATTCTGAATGTAACAATGTTCCTTGGCCACCCTGTCCTACGTATAGGTCCGTATTCTATGTTAGGAGTCGATTAGAAGTAGTTTTTGGCCGTGCAATGAAATCTTGTTGCCAGAGTTGCTAAAGCATCGGCAGTTCCAGGATTGCTCGCCCTGTTTGTTGTCAACCCCCCCCCCCCCCCCCCCCCCCCCCCCACAATCTCTTGAAATAAAGAGGCAGCAAGGAATTGGAAGTACTATGCCGGTGCTAATGGCTTAGGCAGAATGCTGAAAATTTGCCGTGTCGCTCAGCTACAGTTTCCTAGAAGCCAAACAAAAAGAGCTGGAAATCGTTGTCCAGTTCGGTAAGAGATTGTTGAAAAATTACCCTTACAAGTAGATTAATTTTGGAAAGTTGATCGAATTTAAAGTTGAAAGTTAGATTAGCAAGCCTTTGACCCCTGTCAGGCCATAATGAGAGTAACCCCCAACCTTCCCTCCCCCCTGCCCCCAGGGTAAAAAAACTACTGTCAATTTTCTCCAAGGTAAACTCCTGTGGTCAGGCAGAGAAATAAGACTGAAAGGGCAATAAAGTAAGAACTGTCCTATTAATTGGCATGACAGTATGAGTAGCTATTAATTGAACAAACTGACTATTAACCATATAGCCTCGTCATTCTAGCTTTATGTTGTTTTAAAGTAAAAATGGTCATGTTAGTCCAAAGAGTTTTGTGAACCAATATAAATTTGTAAACAGAAACGCCTACTACCTCACAGTATTCGCATGCCAAACTGCAAATTGTTGACCTAGTCTTGACCACGTTGACAAACTAATACCAACCCACAGACGAAGGGATAATAACATGTGGGTGGCAAAATTTTGGGCTTTAGGGTCACAGCGATGATGCAAAATACCAAACTGGGAATCTACAGGCATTGCTAAGTTTTCTTGTGAGATATGGCAATAACAAAATCTTTCCAGATCACTTGGTGAATGCTCCACGTTCTGCAACTTACAAGTCAAAAACTACGCAGAACAAAATCATTAAGATTTGTGGAGCCATGACAGCTGAGCATTTATCAAGTGAAGTCAAGTCAGCAAAGTATTTCTTAGTACTTAGTGCAACTGTCGCGGTCAAGGTTATGATTGGGCAGCAAATGTCTGGGAAGTGTAGTTGAGCTGCTACGATCATTCAACAGCAATATCCACAAGCATGTTATGTCCACTGCAAATCTGATGTTCTAGAACTTGCTGTTGCATCTGCCTGCTCTATCCAAGTTGTTCAAAATATAATGACCTGTCATGAGGTTGAGAAAAAGTAACAAGACGTTGTTTAACCTAAGCTAGGCTTTAATTAACCCATAACCACTAATAATTAACAAACAACTACGCTTCAATGCGCTAATTAGTTTGAACTAATTAGCAATGTGTTCTTTGTTGAATGTCAACACAACCTGTTCAATTATATCTAAGGAAGGCGTCAACCAAACATAAAGCGTCAAGCAGAATATTAATAGACTAGTTTCACAACATGACCCTCATCAGGTCTGTAAGTGGCTTATAACACACCCAAAGCGTTTTCAGTTGTTAATACAAATGATCCAAGAGATTTTGCCTAACGACCGTCATGAGCATCTGATTGATGTTTGCCGCACTCGTTGGCTTGCAAGGATACATGGCCTAGACATGTTTATTGAAATTTTTTAGGCAATTGTCATTTGCTTAGAAAATGTGACAGATAACTGTGACAGTACCTTGATCAGTAATTCTGTGAAAGATGCTAGTGGTTTGTTTTATGGGACAATTGCTTTCGAGTTTAGCAACTGTCCCATAATAAGTGCCTTGTTGCTGTTAGCAGAATGTTAGAGGTCACTAGGCCATTATTGAAGCAATTGCAATCTGTCTCTCTCGATACTGCTGCTTGTGCTAACTAGGTATCATTGCTGTATACAATGTTGCTAAGAATTCGAGGCGATATTGATAAGTTGCATCATCAGTGCACAGGCTGTTAAAATTGCAGAGAAAGTTGGAACCCCTGCTTCCAAACCATCATCGCAAGAATCCAAAGTTATAGTGCAAATACCCCCATCTAATTCACCATCTGAATATTTTTGTCCTGTTATAACAATTTCATTTCTCGACAATCTCGACAATCAAAGCTCGCTTCTCTGATCAAAATACAAAAATTTTTAATGCTTATTACGCACTTGAGCAAAATCTCCAAGACTCATGCTGGGAAGAGAAATCTCCATGTTCATATCTATGTTTAGGTCTGATCTTCCTGAGCCCCGCTACTTGTTTATGGAATTGAAATCATGGGAGAGTTATTGGGAAAAGTTTCATGGAAGACGTCCATCAACAATCTCTGAAATTTTACTGTTTATCAATAAAATGATTTTCCCGAACATTTCTGCTGCATTGCAGATAGCTGCTACAATTTCTGACACTACAGCTCACATTAAGAACTTTTGATGGGCAAAAGAAGCAATTTTTGTACTCAATCTGTAACTTTCTTGCAACAATTGTATCTTTAGTAGCTGAACTTTCTAAGTATGGCAACAGTGATTTATGTACTTAATTCTAAAATTTTCTACTATAAAAGAACAGAGTGACACCTGCATAGACACTTTCAACAATAGGGAGGCGATTGCCCTATCACAAAACATCCACATAAGGGGACATTGATTGAAAATTTACTCTGAACGAATAATTCATCAAAATGTCTTATGGGAAGAATCAATGAGGTATAATTGACTTTTTCAAATTTCCAATGGTATAGCTAATGGTTTAATTTCTAACTGTTGCTTCAGTGCAATTATCATCACATTTATTAGATGGCAAAAATTTGTTCTAAGCAAGACATGAAACACTGTATTTGTAGAAAATATGTTGAAAATTTAAGGGAAACAAAGCATGTTTATTCATAACTTGAAAAGAAAGATTTAAGGGGAATGTATAAACATCAAATAAATAAGGAAATTACATTTTGAGAGAAAGTACTATTGAAATACGAGCATAGCATATTTGTGATGTTAAATGAAGCAATAGGTAAAACCCAGGCATGTTAATAATATGCATTGGGGGCGTTACATTCCCCCCCCCCCCAAAAAAAGTTTGAAAAATCCAGTTACAGTTGGAAAACATCACGGTTTTGTGTTTCTTTTCAGAAGCTCAAACTTGTGAGTTTTATATGTTAAAAACTTCGGGACTTTCATTGTAAAAATTTCAAACTTTGATAAATTTCACATGCTGGAGCCAACCCATTCGCTAATTGTTTTCTATTGTGAAGCCGACCTCCACTGAATCCACATTTTTTTATAAAAAAGAAGTGTCCTCCTGTTATTTGTGAATGTCCAAATGAATAAAATGTTAACGATGAAGCCCGCGATAAAGCTGCTGAGAAGCCAGAAACCATTGCAGAAGCTGCAGCAGAAGTATTTGATAAAAGAAGAGTGCTTTATCTTACCAATTGGGCATATGCACTTGCTCTCAAATCATAATTTTTAATAAACGAAAAGGCATCTGGCCCTCTGAAAATTTTTAATTGTTAATAATTCCTTGATGCTTCTATATCGTTAAACTTATAATATAGATAAAATTGATCTACAGGAGATAGCTTTAAAATGGGCGAAGCAGAAAACGAGAAGAATCACTGTTAATTGATTTGAATAGACATTCCTTATCATTGAATATATCTAATACTGGTTTTGCTTAGATGTTGCTTTACTTCTTACAAGAAACTTGAATGTCTGTGTCTTTTTTATTCAAATCTAAAGAGTTAGGCTTTTATGGTTTAGGCTATCGAGTGAAATTTTGGTAATGAGAAAGAAACTAGAAACATGGAGTTAGGGCTGTTTCCAACTATCAATTCGGTATTTACAATAGATTTACAGATCGACCAAAAAATTTAACAGTTAAAGGTTTACTATCCTTCCACCCCCCTCCCCCCCAAAAATAATTAGCCCCTTGTTCTCGTCCCTGGTAAAGCAAATCTATTGTTTCATATTCATGTGGGACCATGCTATCCACTATTTAGATCCTGAATAGTAGACGGATGGTCTTATAATATGATTCAAGGTACACAGAAAAATTTAGCCTGAGTATACATTCCATTGCAAAGTTCCAAATGGCTACGCCAGAGAAGGACAAGGTGATACATCTCTGTATAATTGTTTTTGTACTTTGTACTGATAAAAAAATTTGGGGGGGGGGGTATGGTAATAGTTCGGGAAATTTTTATATTTTACTTTATGTAACCAAAAATTAGTCTCTAGCATAACCTGTTGGTATAAGAGGTACTCACTGGAGTTAAAAAGGCGTTTTTAACAGTTTGTAGTCAAATTTGAACTGTTAAATTTCTTCGCTGCCACTAATGGGATGGAATGCAGCGCAGTGCCCTATTTGAATTTGGTGTGAACGCCCCCTCATATCATAACCAAGGACCCTAACGAGTAATTGTCAAACTGGGAAAGGCTAATTCAAAAGTGGAACCTTTTTTTAGAAGCAGCCTAAAATATTACCAGCGTCAATTTTCTTCCACTATTTGAGGCTGGTCATTATGCTTAAAAAGGCAGATTAATTGGGATAAACCTAATGCTGCTGAGGGGATACCTCAGCCCATGGGGCATAATCGAGGATGGAGACTTATTCACAAAAATTACTTAAGGATGGGGGCTTATTCGAGGGGAGGGCTTATTTGAAGGTGACAGATTACGGTAGTTCTCTTAGGGCCTTTTCCAAACGCTGCATCACGCATATTACGTAATTTCTATCATCTTTCGAGGGATTCTTCACCCCGCATTACGTTCGCAACTGTGCGTGACACAGCATGCCTATCTTTTGTCTAAGGATTAACCCTGCATACAATTTGCTGAGGTAATGGTAATCTGAGAGAAATAAGATTACCTCATGCCCCTTTCAGGTACCATTTCTGCTATGTCATGATTTCATATCATAGGGGAAACAGCTGACATAGCCCCCGCGTGTACTTCCTTCTACATAACCTTTGCCTATATATACCTCTTTAGAAACGTTGTTTAGAGATTCCGCTGCGTTTTACGTGTCATGCCCTACTTGCTTGTGAAATACAGTTATCAAAGAAGATAAGAACAATTTTGGATCCTTAAACAGAAACCAGATTTGTTTTCATTAGCAATAAATCGTGTTTCTTGTAACCTATCCAAAAGGAATTATTCAATCAAATTTTTGTCAATAAGAAATCAATGAAAACTTCGGTAAATTTGCATTAAAGATGGCAGGCTTCGCTTTTACAGTAAGTACACTCTACTTTTTCTTAAAAGAACCAGTAAATTTAGATTCAGGCTGAATCGAATATATCGTTTTATTTTGAAAATCATTTTGAAACTCTGAGGCTGGATTGTTCTTAATTTGTCCTTAAATTAATAGGGTGTAAGCAGGGCTATTGCTAGCTTTTTCGCTCTAGGGAGGTGTACATGCCTCATTTGCTAGCAAAGTGAGTGAAACAACCTTCATTTGCGGCAAAGTTTGAATATTCACCGAAAAGCACTAATACATGGCTAAAAATCCGCATTTTACAATAGCTCAGTCTTAGCTTGTTCTTTATTTGTTCCTAACTTTTTACCAATTTCGAGGCCCGTGTTCTTATTTTTATTTTGAATTTTGAAGCAGCTTCAATCGCAAGTGAAGTTTACCAGTTATAAATTTCTAAAAAAATCATGTATGTAGATGCTTTCTTTAGTGGCTCTAACCACATTTTGACAAGCTTACTAAAGTTACGCACTAGAAGAATTAACGCACTCCATTGCTGGTACAGTGCAGATCTAAATTGTACCACATATGGGGAAAAATTATGTAACCTTGAATTCTAGTTAAAGTTTGTTCAAATCGGGAAATAGAACGGAATCATCTTATCTGGCGAAATAGCCGGTGAACCGGGAAAGTTGCAGTTCTGCATTGATATGCTCTTGATAGATTTTCATTGAAAAATGCTTTCAATTTCTGCTGTTTTTGGCCCGACACGCTCTTCCATGGTACGAAATGTTGTAAATTTGGCCCAGACCCAAACCTAATACATTTTAGGGCCCAATAGACCCTTTTCACAATCCCTTTTTTGGCCGCTTGACAACGAGGGTGTTTAATGAAATCGAGACAGTTGTTGTTTGGCATAAATCTTGTACAGCGCTTCTACGTAAAATATCTACTATTCTTTTGCGTTTAAACCAAGACTTTTTGGAAAGTTTTTGGAAATGGAGAATAAAGACGTTGAAATGGTAGAAGGTGTTTCAAAGACGAAGAAAAGATCACTCGGTAGGCAATGCGCGGCTTATGGGTGTTATAACACCTTTTACAAAACTGATGGATTGCCATCCGGCCTACATTTCTTCAGATTCCCACAAAAGAACCCCGAGAAGCTTCCTTGGTTTAACCTCATCAAACGTGCAGATGGACGTGACGGTTTTAATGTTACACTGTCTACATTCCTTTGTGAAGACCATTTTACTGATGCGGACATCAGCAGGTATCCAAATCAGTGGTGTCTGAAAACTGGAGCTGTCCCTTCTTTGAATCTGTTCAGTAGCGTAGATCGGTTGCCAAGAGTATCCCGCAAAGTCCCAGCTGAACGTACGTTTTCTTCCTCTGCATCAGCAATCTTCGATGATGATGTTTCTCCCTTGGCTTCTAATGTAATGGAATCCTCGCTACAATTATCAACTGATGATTCGCCAACAACAATTTTCTTTTGTCAGTTCTCCAATTTACATTCCTTCTTCCTTTGACCAAAACAAGGAGTGCGACCATGAATACTCTTCTTATACACCTCACGAGAACGATCTTTTTAATATTTGTAACCAGCATGACCATCTTTCAACAAAGACCAAGGAACTCTCTTTGCAAGTTGACAAACTATCCAAACAAATTGGTGACTTGGAACAACAAATTTCTCAGCTGAAAAGCTCTCTCTTCTCAATCGATAAACTGGAAAAAGATGATGCTGCTGTCAGATTTTATACCGGCTTTCAAAATTTTTCTTCTCTTCGTGCCTTGTTTGAGTATTTCCAGCCAAAGCTTGATCGTATTCATTACTGACAATTACAAATTAAGATAAAATGTAATAAAAAAATGTCAAACATGCCTTTTTGCGCAATAACATGCCTAATGTCAACTTTTTTCGACTTGTCAAATCCAGAAATAATTCTATCCATCGAAAGCATATCCATTACATCGAGTCTGACCTATAATAGTTGATTGCAATTATGCCTTTCAAAACACTGAAGGACCTCTCGCCGCTGCAAAAATTTCAACCTGCATGTAGGAGTTGCAACAGAGAACATTCAAGTTCAATTTGAAACCTTAAACTAATGCATTCAAATGTTTTTCAATTTTAATAGTATAGCTTATGTTTTCACATTTTCAAAGAAAGTTGATTTGTATGGAAAAAGTCTTTCCATATGATTCTTTATTCAATACAGAAAGATAAAATAAATAATTTCATATTTGTTATATTATAGATGTAAAGATGAAAGGGAATTAATTTTTGCAAGCACTCATTTTTGTCGAATATTTTTGCAAATTTATTGGGAATTACTTTGGCTAATTGACTAAATTCCAATATTTCACGGGAATTTATTTAAAAAACTGCCGATTTTAAATAAGCTAAGGTTGGGGCGTATGTATAACCCCACATGACGTGTGTAATAGTTCCCATAAAGAACTCGGCCTTTGACTGAAATACCAGAAAAAATTAGTAGCCTCAGAAGTCAAGGCCGGTTAGTTTCTGGGCTGAGGGCCCCACAGGCCCCATAGGTAATCCGCCACTGCTTTGACCCCAGGTTAAAAAGGTTCCCCTTCCCTGTTTTAGATAAATGATTAGAATAAAGATATTTCGAACAGAAAAAATGGCATATACTTGTAGTTTAAAAATTTTCTGGGGGCCTATTGTAGATAGCCGGTGCTCGAGAACCCGAAATATGGGGGGTCCAAACACTGCAAAACCGTGTAAAAATCTGCAAAAAGTGTTGTGAAACTGCTTTTTGTGGAAAAACCATTGCAAAATCCGTACACCAGATAGGATCGGGACGTAAACCTATAATCGGCCCCCTTTATACCCTTTTACAATCGAATTTAACTGGTGATTCAGATGATAAAATTATCGGCAAGGTATCATTGAAACAGATAGATAAAAATAACACCTTGAAGACATTCTTAGGATTTTAAGGACAATTATTATAAACCTGACACTTTTTCAGGATGGAGTCGCACGTCAGAATTGGAGACAATTTAAGAATTATTATACAGAATTATTGCCGAAAAGACGCCTATGAATGCGGAATTCCAAGACAGAAAGTGCCAAGAATCTTCAAGCTGGTCCATTTTAAATCTGAGCAACGAGAATGCGATGTCTTTTCCAGTCAGACTATTCCACCATACCACATTCTACAGAATTGGAATCTACAATTACTGCCGTACTGCGAGCTCGCAAAAGGTTTTCACTACATTGAAACTTCACAAGATCGGTATGGTCTCTGGGCAATTAATAATGCACTGCTCTTAGATAGAGCCAGAAGCATCAAAGCAAGCGTCGAGAAAGAATTGGACTGGTTTGCAGAGCCATTCTTAACACCCAAGTCCGTTACGAAACAACTGCCTACTGCAAGTATAAACAGTTTTAAATCGCTTTTACTTTCACATCCCTGTGGATTAACGCTCTCTGAACATAGGATGAATCCAAAAGAACTTGCTTTCCTCTGCTGTGACAGATGTATATCTTGCGATCATGTACTTTGGACAGTAAATCAGCTGAATAGGCAACAGGTCTCTGTATACTGCATATATTTGAACTATGCCATGAGCAATCCTGAAAGCCTTATTGCAAAGAGATTTTCCGGTAACAGACCACTCCTGGCATCCATTGTCTGCATTGTTAATGTTGGCAGAGAAGCCAACGGAAAAGTATTTCTTGGGAGTGATGGAAAACAAGGAAATCATTGGGCTACTATCTACGTTGATCCATCTAATAAGCGTATCACATACTGTGACTCACTCTGTTGGCCTCCGCCTGAAAAAATGTATCAACGAGAAAATGTGGTATACAAAGGAATGTATGAATACGATATGGTAGGATTTACAGTCATCGGAGCCCATGACTTCACTCAGACTCCATCTGGCAGTCACCTGTGCAACAAATTTACTTGTGCGACATACTTTCCTTTTCAGACATGTGCCCAAGTTTGTGGTGTTGCCGCCATAGTTGTAGCCGCAATAGCAACTCTTTCTCAGCCATTTTTTTGATACATTACAACTGTCCACCATAGACATTTGCAACACGTCCCAAAGCTATATATCCAGCAGCCAAGAAGGTCATGGATTGGATCAGATTTGATTGATATCAGCCTTCTCGTTCCCCAAGTTGACACTTTAGAGGCAAATCTGAATCACCCATCCAACGCTGATTCTGACAAAGATGAAGACATAGTGCGAAGAGCAAATATCCTAGAAATCAAGCAAGCAAACATTAAATCAGAAATAATTGATGTTAAAGTGTTTGAAAATGCAAAAGAAAGAGAAAAATCCACGGAAAAGAGGGATCCTAAACAGTTTGCAAAACAAGGTTTCAAATAATCAAGATTTGCCAGCCAAAAAACATACATGCAGAAAGGATCAAACCTTAGCCGACACATTTTAAAAGTCCATCCAAATTCGAATATGACACTTGGAAATGCACAAGATGGTAACTGTTGTTGTCTATCATGCAATTATCGTTGCAGACGTATTTTAGACCTCCGAAAGCATTTGACAAGAGTGCACAATCAAGTTTTCAGAACCAAAAGCCTCTCCTTTAGCAATAACGAACGTAATCTCCAAAATTATTTTAATGGTTTTATCCTTATCCTCAATTCTAACTTAAAGCAGAGTTCTTGACGCTGCCTGAATGATATCTAAGTCTCATGAAGAATATATATTAGTTAGATGTGTCTTCAAGTGACTTTTTTGGTAACAGTATCTCCTTTGCCTAACGACAGAAGCAGTTTAAAGCAACCCGTTTGTCATTTAAAACAGTATGTTGTAGTATTCACATTTTGTAACACTCTTAACATGTATATGATTGAAGAAAACGTATACAGAAACAACAAAATTTATATTGATATATTTGATTATATTTACCTTCTTTGTAGATTTCGAGGAATGGAAAAACAACGTCGAGGAGCAAGAGTCGTGCTCGTTCTCATCCATAGGGGGATCTAAAACAAAAGAAGGCTCTACATTTACCTATTTGCAATGTAACCGTAGTGGATCTTACATTCCAGCCAGAAAAAGCAAAAGGTGACAGAAGTTCCAAGGTATCTTCCTTTTCATAAAGCATTCCCTAAACGACTTAATGCCATCAGCAGTAACCTATGGCCAAGAAACATATTCCGGCCCCATGACACTACGTATGCCATTTCTTGCTGACCCAGCATAACTTAAATTCATTGATTTTAACTTTAAATTTAATTCAATCTAAATGACCTAGCATCACTTAGAATTCAATTAAAAGGATGATCAAATATCTTGCTTTCGCATTTATCATGAATTAATATATTTCAGAAAATATTTCAGGAAGCATTGTTCAGTGAATTTCTGCCCGAGGAGTGAGATGGGGTGTTGTAAAGCAATTCAAACCTATCGGAGTATTTTGAGGCTAGCAAATAATTAACTCAGGCTGCTTCTAAACCAGACTGACTTCTCACCAATATAATAAATTCGATATTTTGGATAGATCAACGCAAATCTTTATAACCTAGTTTAGTATGAGATTGATTTATGATGATAGGTGTATGAGATCGATTAAGGATGTTTTCGGTTTAAATAATTGGGTCTAACAATTTAGACTAGGCATGCATGCACCAATTCAATAGAATTGACGCAAAAAGAATGCTTTTTTCCTCTTTAGGAACCTGCAAGATAGAAACAAATTGCACTTCAACAATGAAAGTTACAAAAAACGCAGATTCGACTATCATTGTTGAAGTATGTTATACACACTATGGGCATCAAAAAGAATTGCAGCACATTTGGCTTTCAAAAGCCAGGCGACAGGAAATTGCAGCAAAGCTACAGCGTGGGTATCAAAAGAGCGGATTTTGGATGATATTCAAAATAGTCTTGGTGCATCCCTATCGCGCCATCACCTTGTTGAATCCAGGAACATATTAACAACGATCATGACAACGATCAGCAAAGCGTATTTGCATGGATAAAGGAATGGGAAACAAGTGACTCAAACCCAGTCCTGTTTTATAAATTGCAAGGAGAAGAATGCCCTGATATATCATTGTCACTATCGAAGAATGACTTTATCGTCATCTTACAGACAGAAGAGCAGAAGCACCTTGCAAAGCAGTTTGGTCACAAAGGAGTTTGTTGCGACTCAACTCACGGAACAAATGCTTATGACTTCTTCTTAACAACCGTGTTAATAGTTGATGAATTTGGAGGTGTGCCAATAGCATGGTGTATATCTAACCACGAGGATTACAACATAATGAAAATATTTTTTTCAAAGGTGAAAGATAATGTTGGCTCTATATCTCCGGCTTGGTTGATGTCAGATATTGTGACACAGTTTTATGACGCCTTTGTAGCTGTGAATGTATGCCAAGTATAAAGTCTCCGAGACAAGAAAACCAGACATCATCCTTTTGCTGTTGATGTATATATGTAAATAACACAACAAGTATCACATTATAACAGTTGCAAAGCAAACAGTCTCAGTCAGTCTCTGCAGTCCCTCCTTCTGCCTTCCTCCTCCTCTTCCAACAACAACAACCCAAAAATGGCGGACACAACACCAAGCAAAGAAGCTCCTTTGCACATGGAATGTAGATAAAGCTTGGCAAGAGGCAATACGTCAAAAGATAAGGAACGTCGGGAAACAGGCAGATGTGTACACAATGATGAGAACTGTCTTGGAAGAAACTGACAAGGCAACATTTCAAGATCGTTTGAGCACACTTGTTACTGGACTTGCATCCTCGCAGGAAACACGTAGCTTTTACGAATATTTCAATAGTTACTGGGCAAGCAAAACAAGCAAATGGGGATACTGCTACAGGCTACGAGAGGGTATAAATACCAACATGTTCGTTGAAGCGTTTCATAGGGTATTCAAATACAAATACCTACGCGGCAAATCCAATCGTCGACTAGACAACTGCCTGTTTCACCTTCTCAAGTATAGCCGAGACAAATGCTTTGAACGTATTATAAAGCTCGCCAAAGGAAAGTCAAGCAAACGCATTAACATGATTCATGGCAGACAGAGCCTCGAACTGTCCTTCAATAGAATATCATCGACAGAGTCAAGCACAGTTTGGAAAATACAATCTTCTGAAGGTGCCGAGAAGTACAGCGTAGAAAAGATAGACGAAGAGTGCGATGTTCAGGAATGCATGCTACGGTGCCACGAATGTAAAATTTGCTGCCACATGTTCGTGTGTAACTGTCCTGATTCCCTGATAACGTGTCATCTCTGCAAGAAAATATATCTTCTCCATAGGTACCTACAAGAAAAAAGTAGCAATGATATGGTATCAAGCAACTGTGAATTTGAGAATGGCCAAAATGAATCATATGCCTCTACAGAACTTCAAAATGCTGTAAAGATGATTGCAAGAAGTAGCCAAGAAGCAGATTTTGAAAGAGTGAAGACTAATACAAATGGAAAACTGAAGCTAATGCAGCAAGCACTGGACAGAAGCACACGAGAGGATGTAGAAGCAATTAAACAATTAAGTGCCCACCTTACAGCTGCTCTCAGCACGTTCCAGTCACTCGTCAAAAGAAAGGCAACAAAAATTTCACTAAAGGGCAAAGAGCCGCCAAATAAAAAAATTGCAGTTCAAAGATTTTTCTCCACTAGAAAGAAGAAGAAAATGACCAAAAGAATACGGTTTGCAAAACAAGATAGGAAAGTCATGGAGAAAATAAATGCAACATTCACAGAAGAGATGATCAGCATCAAAGGTCAACAGAGAGGTGGCCCTAACATACCTGCGAGAAATATTTTATGATACCAAATGCAAGATTTCAAAAGGTGAGGTTGTGCGTATTTCAGGTTGGACCTTTGTGGCAACATATTTCAGTACATTAGAATGGAAACAAGAGAAGTCATTTCTCAATTTCAATAGAAGAAAAAACTAACAAATTTTTCAGGTTCAGACAAATTCTAAAATAAAAATTTCTGCTCATTAAAGATAATTTACAATTTCTTTTAGATACATTAAAATTAGAAAGTAGGACATCAATCATACTGTTAAGTGATTTGTTGCAACATGAAATATCTCTTTCTCAAGCTTGAGTTAATGGTCATCGCTATTATCAAACATATTGCCAATTGGTAACTGACAAAACATATACCTAATAGCGAGGAAATTTGAAGGCAACAAATCACACTTCAATATTGATAGTTAAATTAGAAAGATAACATTGTTCCTTGTTTTTGTACAGGAGTGAGGGAAGTCTTCAATCTTTTTGGTGTCTCAAATGAGAAGTTGATGTCATCCTATTCTAGAGGCAGAAAATTGACAGTGTCCGATTTCATACTTGAAGAGGATGAAACTCTCCCTGCTGAAATCTTGAATCATGATATCTCCTTGATGTATCCATTTGTTACTGAAGAAACTGTCAATATAGTTTCTAGCATGGGTATGATGCTTGCATATAATACAAATATGATTATGATACAATATATGATTGGCTCAAGCATGCTTATGTGTATGTTGTTAGGCATAATTTGCTTGCAATATTTCTTATGAGAAACAGATACTCCTATATCCTCTTGTTCACTCTGTTGCCCCTCAATGCACGGTAAAAACAAGTTGTTCATTTATTTGTAGGTATATATTTTCCTTGAAATTAACATCTAAATACTACTTTGGGAACTTCTGTTATCAAGATAATTGGTATAAATGCAGAAAGCAGCCACTTTTTATGTATAATATCTTGCATAGAAAAGATAATGATGGAAGGCTTACACAAATTGATATTTTATTTGATTTGCGTCCATAAAGTGACAGATGTGGCTACTTCCTCTAACTACAATGAAAAGCTAATATCAAAAAACCCACACAACCCTTTTTGGCAACACAGTTAAACAGTATGTACTGAAGTTGTCCAATACTGAAGTTGTAAAATGTTATTTTTGTAACTGGGCTAGAGGTGCTAGCTTCTAGCTACATGTAATGCATTTTGATTCTCTTGAATTTCTCAGTTGATGACCTGAAGGATGACTGGATGTGTGTTACTTGCAAAATTTCTGTTTATGAAAACATGATTGCCTGTGTTTATTGTGAGCAATGGTATCACTGGTAAGTCTTTATAGTTATTTCCTGAAAAATCCTCTCCAGGCGAAGGTGAAAAAGTCAAGTTAGTCTTAAAGGTTCAGGAACTGAAACAAAATTTTAATCAGGCTATATCATTTGAAAAGAAAGACGTGAAGCTGATTCCATAATTTGAAACTAGGCACTCAGTTGTTCTACTAGGTGTTCCAAAAAGTACTCTGGTATGCAACATTACCAAAATTTTATAACATTTCAGACAACAAATTGTTTTCTAATAATACATTAATCTATTATCTTTTATCAGGAGATGTGCTGGAATCCATGAAGATGTTGGTGAAAATGATTGGTTTTGCTCTGTCTGTGTTAATAGTTCTGTCATCTGACCAACTTGAGAGTTACAAAATTTGTAATTATGTTCATATACCACGTTATGGTCGTACCTGACCACCAAAGAGACAACTACTCCTATTTCAGAAATTTGAAATTGATAAGCATACCAAGTATTTACCCCATTTGAAATGAATAGTAGCATGTTGAAATCCTTTACTGCTACTGTGGTTGTGGTAAATGTTACCACCTCGGTATGGTCGTACCCGACCACCACAGAGACATCTACTCCAAGCATACCAAGTCTTTACCCCCATTTGAAATGAATAATAGGATGTTGAAATCCTTTATTGCTACTGTGGTTGTGGTAAATGTTACCACCTCGGTATGGTTGTACCCGACCACCACATAGACATGTTTTATAGGCATAGAAGGTAAAAACTAAAAAACCAATATGTGAATAAAAGTATAAAATCCAAAATAGAAAAATGAGAAAAAAGGAGATAAGGAGTAGTCACTACCACCTTGTCACAGCCTCAAACTCAGAAGGGGGGTGGTTGTGTGTGCCCTTGTATGTTTTGAGCAATTAGCTTGTAAGTGGGCAGAAAATGATAAAAAAGCAACTCATCAGCCAGAAACCCAAGAGGGACATTTCGGGGCTTTAATTTGGTATGTCCATTTCTCGTAGGCGCCCCTCGCAATCCTGCGTCCAGGATCACGGTTGCAAAGGTCAGGAAAAACAAATAAAAAATATATATATTATAAAGATCAACAAAAAGTAGCAATCAACACAGAGTGCTTACTAAAGTAGGACTGTAGAGTGTACGGAGGCATTTTAATTGAGTGGGTAAAGAGGATAAACATGGTACGGTGTGGCTCTGGGAATAAAGGGCTGGGAGAAATGGGAAGGGTTAAAAGTATCACCTGTGCATAACAGCATAAAGTTAGAGTTGGAGGGGTTGAATGTGGCTATGGGAAGGGCGTGCCAAATGGGTTGGGTAGAGGAAGAGAGAGGGTACCTAATCTGGGAATGGGTTTGTATGTATAGAATGGATGGAGGACAGGGCTGTTGAAAGTTTGGAACAAGGGGGGGGAGGGATGCCTAATCTGTTTCAGGGGCCCTATTTGAGGCCCCAATTAATTACTGTAAACTTTGTATTTCGACATGTGCATGTTTCCTTGTATCAGACGCCACAATATCGTTGTCCATAGAGAATGTAGCGAGATTATTTGTGGAAAAATGTTTGTTTTTGTTATAGTAACAGTTATATCAACGAGCTATAGTAACTACTCAAGGCATACCAAGTCTTTACCCCCATTTGAAATGAATAGTAGGATGTTGAAATCCTTTATTGCTACTGTGGTTGTGGTAAATGTTACCACCTCGGTATGGTTGTACCCGACCACCACAGAGACATCTACTCCAAGCATACCAAGTCTTTACCCCCATTTGAAATGAATAGTAGCATGTTAAAATCCTTTATTGCTACTGTGGTTGTGGTAAATGTTACCACCTCGGTATGGTCCTACCCGACCACCACAGAGACATCTACTCCAAGCATACCAAGTCTTTACTCCCATTTGAAATGAATAGTAGCATGTTGAAATCCTTTATTGCTACTGTGGTTGTGGTAAATGTTACCACCTCGGTATGGTCGTACCCGATCACCACAGAGACATCTAGTCCTATTTCAGAAATTTGAAATTGATAAGTAAGATTTAGATTAATGTATTTTTTTGCTTAATAACCTGTTTTAAATGAGTTGTGTTGAGTCATATAAAATAAATTTTTGTGTATTGGACATTTGTATATGTTAGCAACGATTCACCATCAAGTCATACTAGATAGTTTGATAAAAAAAATCGAAATTCACTTTACTGAATCGAAACTCAGGCTACGATATATTTGATAATTTCAATTTGAAAGCTCTGTAATGTGGTAATCAGAAAATATCTTGCAGAGTTGCGCTAAAAAGAAATTTTCTATGTGGAATCCAAGTATCTGATCACACCTAGAGAAGCCCCCTCCTTTTCTTGAAACTTGAGAAAAATTGCAATCAGGGTTGCCATATGGGATATTTCAATCCCAGATTTGAGAAAATTTGGGATTATTTGAAAGCCTTTGGGATTTAAAATTTAATTGGGGGTTTGGAAGTGATTTTGGGATACATTCGGGATTATACATAAAATGAGTCAACAAGGAAGGAAATCTGAAGGAATGGAGTGAAGGAATGAAGCAATACTTGACCTAAGAAATCATGCCTCACATCAGATTACTTGATTGCCAGAGAAAATAGTGCAATCTGAATAATCAAATTTGAAAGAACGGTGTTGATTGACAAACCACATTTATCCAATCCATACTCTTCAGGGGAGCTATACATATGATTTGGAACTCAAGATGGCAAATTTATTTCTCTTTGGTTTCTAATTCCATGCTTATTCGAGATGTTTTCTCTGAATGTGTCCTGTTCCTTCTACAGCACTGGTATATACACATATAAAAGCAGCTTCCTGCAAATACGTAGAATACTGTAGCACAATTAGTAAGAAAAACAATATTGGCATGGAAAATGTAAAAGGAGTCTAAACAACTTTGAGGCTATCAAAGATCATATGGATCTTTGTTTTTATTCTTGATTTCAAAGAATTGGCTTCTCTAAATGCAAACCAAGCCATGTTGGCCAACATTATGAATACAATGTTACTGGATGTTCCTAGTTTGGAGGTTAGAACAAAAAATTATAAGAAATGAATAGAAACCTATCAATTTCATTTTGTGGATTGTAAAACTTATGTTCTTTCAGATATTGAAGCTGCTCTCTGAGGTAGGGTCCAAGACGTTCATGTAACTAATGCCACGACCCTCGAATCTACAAAAATGTTAATCAGTTGATGTAAATTAGAGGTTGAAAGTTTACAACCATTTACTTGCTACCTAGTTAAACCATTGGTCAGACCTGGAAGCATGAAAGTGTGCACAAAATGGCAAAGGCATTAAAGCAATTGAAAAAAACTGAAGGGTGCAAGTGTGAGCTGCAAATAGAGTTGAAAAAGTTCCAAGAGTTGGTAAGAGTCGCAAAAAGTAAACAATAGACCTTTTGTTCTCACATGAGAGCACTTTCATTTAACTGAGAGCAGCAAGCTTGAAAAAGTTGCGAGTTTGCAAATGAATGCAAGTTTTCTAACTTGGAGTTTACTGATTTAAATCAGCTAAATCAGCAAAACTGAAGGAAAATTTAAGTTCAAATTTTTACCTGACCTACCTGATTAGATGTTGATGAACCATAGATCACTGTGGCTACCGGATCTTCAATTCCCAAATTGTAGCCATGTCTCTTTTCAGTTCCTTTGTCAATGTAAAAATGCTGACCAATAAATCTTGTCTGAACAATTCTTGTATTCAAAATAGCATTTGCCAACTATTCTTGGCTCAGAATTAGTTGTCCAAATTTTCAATCAAAGTAACTTCCTGCTTGCCGAAGGAAGACATCTATATATTTTGTCGGCAAAAATTTTGTCGGATAGTCGGAAAATCCAACATTTATCGGTAAATTTGAAATATTAGACAAAATGTAAGGTTTTCATCGATCCTGTCCAAAAGGTCGCATATTTGTTTAAACCTGTTGTGAAATAGGTAATACTGAACCCTTCTTACTTATTTTCATCAGGGTATATACCCGAATCATTGTATTGCTGAAATTTGTAAAGAAAATTAACGCTCTGGTCTCAGTTATTTTATAAACTCCCATTTCCGACAGTTAAAATTCAACTCAGTTCATTTCGAAATGATATTAAAGTTATTGTTTTCGGCATGACTTAGAAGAGGAAAATTTTGTCGAGCGACGAATACGCAGAAAGAAACAGATGCCAGTGGAAAATTGCATGGATGAATTAGAGGGAAATGGGGAATCCGTATATCATCGTGAAAGTAGATACATCTATCAGCTCAATGAATACAAGATTCACGTCTCATAAGGCAATTTTGACAGATTTTGCCTTGCTCAACCCTGAATCTTTTAAAAAAAACAATTTAAAGGCAGTTGTGTGCAGTGTCATTCAAAAAGTTGCGAAGAATTACGGCCTGGATGATGAAAAATTAAGAGATGGGTACAGCTCTTTTGTCAATAATTACCGTAAATTTAGGAAAGTTAGAGAAAAGAGCAACCCTCTGCTGGCTGCAGGAAAAAGAGAAAACTTCCATTCAGTTCTTCAGTTGATGATAAGTACAACCTGCAAAGTGCCTTTCCACATCTGGTCCTTCTTTACAAGGTTCTCGTCACTCTGCCAATAGGTTCAACAAACTACAAAAAAGTTTTTCAAAGCTGTGGATTTTAAAAAAATCGGCTACGGTCAAGATGATGGTGGGACAAGACTGCCTTTTCTCTCTGATAACAATCAATGTCGAAAGTGATATTTTACAGTCCATAGACTATGGTGCCATCATCGATTTGTATGCTGCCACACCTCATCTGCCAAAGATGCTGCTTGAGTAACAGTTTATATAAAAATCATTTTAAAGAAAACTATTATTTTGGACGTGTTATATCTATTTAAGGTTTAGCATAAATAAATGAAAAGTAATTATGATGAGATTTAAAACTTGCCAAAATTTTTTTTTGCTATAAACAGCTATAAACACTAACGTGACAGTTTATTGTCTAGTATAGCGAGAAGACTTGTAGGGTGTAAATTTATAACTTGTTGCAGCTTGGTTTATAGCGATTTATATTTGGTATGTTTTGTTAAAATAAAGGCTATTGTTGAACTTGAAGGTGTATAAGAAACGATCCATTGGTTCACAATTTCCAGATCCATTCGTGATATTGTAGTATCAAGTGTTACAGTATATGCAGCAAGGGTAATGGTGGCAGAGGGTTTTGTGTGGCAGGAATTTTGTTACTAAGGTCTTCACCGACATTACAAAAATAGGTGTTCATATTTTCTGCAATAGCTTTGTGATTGAAATTTTTTTTCCCCATCAACATCTAGAGTTGTAATCTGTGTGGTCTTTGACTTTTTGTTTAATACCAAATTGATAGTTTTCCACGTACTTTTAAGGTCACCTTCGTCAGAAGCAATTTTGTTCAAGAAATAATCGCGCTTCAGATCAATATTGACCTTATTTACTTTATACGCATTTGTTTATACGCATCAAATAACACTTCAGATTTAGACTTAATAGCTTTCTCAGTTTGTCCCTTGATGCACATATAAGTTTGAACTCTTTGGTTATCCATGGACAGAATCCTTCTGAAACTCGCCTACTGCGTAAGGGAGCATGTTTCTCAAGTACAAGGGAAAACAAAGATGTCCATTGTTCCACTATGCTGTTAACATCATCAGTATGTGAGACTATGCCTTACCAATCTATTTTTTGCAAATCTTCAAGAAATTCAGCTTTGCTAAAGTTTTTCATTTGTCTGGTACTGATATTTTTGTGCTGTTTTTTTCATTGTGCTGAGTATTTGCATGCCGCAGTTTACATATGCACTTTGTTTCCTCTTTTGTCATTGTGTTGGATGAATCCACATTAGATTGTCTTGACTTCTCCATTCCCGACTTGTTTCAGTATTTCCTTTCTTACTATTGGATTTCTTTCCACAAACTTCCTCAGATTCTCCGCTATTTCTTCCAATCCCCAATTTTCCCACTCGTCAACTTTTTGTGTAATAACCTCTGTCGCTGGTCCAAGATTTGCCATCAGACTATAATTTCAGCAGATTTTAGTTTTCCAAGTTGTCACCAAGGTCCTTCTGACTCGTGAAAGTTGGTTGTATAATTTGTGAATATCTCTCAGCTTGCAAATATTTTTTACATAAGGTAAATTTTCCAACTCTTTTATAAGGGCTTTATGAACCTGTACATCCTTTCAGAACGTATCCTCCAGTATTCTATTGCTTCATTGTACCCCCCCCCCTCCCCCCCTTATGTGTAGTAGGATCTTTATCGAAGAAGTGAGACGAAGAGAAACGAACTTCGTTTATGTTTTCTGCTTCATCATCGAAATCAAAAGTCCTCTAACTGTCTACGTGCATCATTATATATCATAAAGTTAAGTGCGTCATAAGTACGATACAAGGCTTATACTGTAAAGGAGAATATTCCTACTACAGTCTACTCCTCCTTATCGAAAAAGATGAAAGCGAAAGATTACATTTTTTTTAACAATTACAAAAAATTTCCGGATTTAAATATAGTATGTAAGTGCCTAAATGTAAGCGACCTGGTTTGTGGAGGTATGGGCACAAAATCTTCGAATCTTTACATAAGTTGGAGGTGCGCATAAGCAACTCGGGGTATTCTAGAGTCGGTCTTTTATGTATGACGTCAAAAGAGAAGAATCTAGTTTAGAAACGTCTGGAGAATTTTTCTGTAGTACAGTAGAGTCTTTGTGCACGCTCACAGAAAAATGGGGTTTATTTTGAGAGAAATTAGTATGTGCTTGACGCATGGCAGTGTTGCATACAAATGAATACAAATGGTTTGAATGGCATGACTGATGGCATGGGTAAATGACAATGTATAGTCATGTGTACCTAGTTGATTAATCAAGTCAGCATGGCTGTGAACATAAACGTTAGCAGTAGAAACGTGCATAGGCGCTGATATGACGTCATTAGCCAATTTATCCCGAGGAGCACTACCTGCAACCAAACTCAGAGGGATGGGACGGCTAATTGGACCTCTTAGGGTTTGCAAGCCTGGGGAAAATTGCTGACTTGCTAGGCATTGGGATCCTGAGGAAAAGAGAGAACACATAAATGAAATAGCTAAGATTAAGCTGACTGTCAAAAAATGTAACCCCTTACGGAGCAAAACCTGTTGGGTACCCCCGGAAGATTTAGGTAGTGGCGTTGCTAAGCATGTAATATTTGCGCTAGAAGCAGGGGGTATACTACCTTGACATTGCATACTAGGAAATACCGATAACGGATTGGAATCGTAACATGAAATTTCGAAGTTCATGGCAGAATCAGCAAAGTACACCTTGAGATCTTTGCTATAAATTCGAGCATCTGTCTTGCGTAAATGATTCTGCCCGAACAAAATAAGCCATGTCAAATTAGGAACAGCAAGCATTGTAAATGTAACTGAGCGACCATTTTCCCATACAATAGGGACTTCCATTATTACAGCATGTAAATTGGAGGTAGGCCCAGCTACCGAAACAGGGACGTGCTGCTCAAGTTTAGTGAATTTGAGATTGGGATGCTGACG